AGGATAATATATCTTTTGAGGTTTTCTTTAGGTTATAGGCGAGTGGATCGAAGACTTGGAAGGCAGCTGTTTGACATTAATGGTTAGTGGATATTAATTGTACATCGTTCTATGGGGAAATCCTTAAGAACATAAAATTTAACAGGCCAAGAAAACCTGAAATCTGATCTATTACTCAAGAAAACATTCATCGAAAAGCTTAGAGTGTATGGCAGAAGATTTCTACCAAACTTCCATTCCGCATGGCAGAATCTTGCCTCTAGATACGAAAAATTATTTCATAGGGAAGGTGCATGCATCTTGTATACACCGTCGATCTCAACCTTCGATCAGGAGAAAAATGTATTTTGGTGGACACTTAAAAAAAAATTGAGGCCCACCGAAATACAAATTTCTCCGATCTATAGTTGAGATCGGACGATGTATGCATCTATGCATCTTGCATACGCCGTCGTGTGGAATAATTTTTCCTGGATACTTCATTTAGGAGCTGGCATGAAGCGCATGGAAAGAAACAAAAGTAAAATAGACGTTGCAGGGGGAATGAGAATTTCAAAATTTAAAGCGGACATGACAATTGAATTCGACGAAGAAGAGGAAGAACCAGTGACACAAAATCTACCGGGAGAAGAGTAAAGCCATGTTTTGAACGCAGGAGATTGATTGGTAAGACATAACTGTTGAGAAAAGTCGTAGAATTGTGGTGATCGAGGTCTTTAGATTGTGTGGATGTAAAATTGATGTTTTTTTTCAGAAATTTACAAAAAGCTTGTATTTACTTATCTCGGACTAAACTTTTGATTTTTACAGATTAATTATCATAACCTATATAACAAAAGGTGCATTACACTATTTTCTCCTTTCAAACACAGGAAAGATGCTTTAGGTCTAAAAATCAATCTTTGAATGTGAGATAAATAAATGCATAAGAATTGAGTGGTATGAATGTTGCTATAATTTCATTTTAAAATTTTGAATTGTTAACTTTTATTTATTTATATATCTTATTGTTACACTTTCATATATGTACTTAAAAAAATAAAAAAAATAAAAAATAAAAAAGCGCAGAACTTGAGTTAGATACTTAAATAAACAAGAATTGTGTGGTACTTTTTCCTAAATTTTGTTCCCAGAGCTAAGCATAAGCAATTTCAGAGGGCGCCGATATGGATGAGTTGGTCCAAAATGTCCTTGGCATGGAGACGATCCTACGTCGCCGGGACCTGCCAAGCTTCTGCGTTAAAGCACGAACCGCCGATGACCCTGTGCTTCAACTCGTAACAAGATCAGCTGCAGACGTTTCCAAAGCACAAGGACTCTTGTTCAATACCACAGAATCCTTAGAAGGTCCGACCCTCTCCCTCATCACCTGCAACGTCCACAAAAACACCTATGCGGTCGGGCCGCTCCATGCTCTCCTCCCATTCTTCACCCCCGAGAGCCACTCGGCCAATCTCTGGGAGCAGGACCACGCATCGATGTCATGGCTCGACGCTCAGCCCCGCCGCCCCCTCGTCCACCT